CCAGCTTTCGTTCTCCTTGTCGCTTGCCTTGCCAACTGTGCTGAGCTTGCCCTTGCCACTGCTGAGCTTGCCCTTGCTGACCATGCCCACCATGCCCATCATGCCCATCATCTGTGAATCCATGGTGACATCAGAATCCCGCGCCAGCAAAGCTGGGCCCGCCCTTTCCAGAATCTCAATCTGACATCAAGATCGAGCCCATGAAGCTGGGGAAGCTGTGACCCTTCTCCACTGGTTCGCCACAACCCCCACGCAATCAGCCACCATCCCAGCCAGGTGGGCTCGGTCCCCTTCAAATTGCGAAGAGCACAACTCTACACCAAAACTATGCGTCAGTGTGGTGATGCTTTGCTTCAAGTACTTGTGTTTGTTTTGCTAGCAGTTGGGCTAGCCCCCACCAAAGCCTCCAGCAGCAGGACAAGCTTCAACAAGCTCTTAGGGTTTTCAGCTTGCTGGGGCTGCAGCTTCTTGTAAGCGTGCAAGTTGAAGGCTTCCTTGGCCCTAACGAACCTCACATATGTGTCAAGCTTGTCATCCAGCAGGGATTGGTCCACGTCTGGGAAGGCAAGCCGCTTCATAGGCTTGGCATTTCCAGCGCCTGCGCAGGCAATGGCAGTTCAAGAAAAGCTTCTGTTTGCAAGGGCACACAAAAAAACAAAACTGCATGCTTCTGGCCTTGCGCCCTCTTTCTGGCTGCCTTCATCAACACCATGGCAAAGCTGGTCAAGCCCTAGACAAAATCATTCAAAGAAATTGCTGCAAGCAACATGTTGAAGCAGCAGCACGCGCGTGCTGCACATGTCGGCTACGCCGGGCAAGCAGTCCTTCCGCTTTTACTGCTGGCGGTGCTTCTAAAGCCTGGCTTTGTACACGCCAAGCGGGCCTCGGTAGTTTAGACCCTGCCTGGCTCTTGAAAGTGCAAAAGCTGGTCTTTTTCCATGGCAGCGTAATTCCCAGAGAGAAATTGGAAACTTTTCTGGGCCACTGCCAACTTGGGAACACTCAGGCGCTGGCACATGTCAAACTCAGGGCTGTAGAGGAAGCAGGACAGCCAGCCAGCTGAATGCTGCCACACCAGCGCATCATCTGCTCTAAACTCAGCCACAACTCCAGCCATGGCTGACAATGGCTTTTGAGCTTGGCTGCACCACGCTTGTTGGGTCACACCAAACATGGAGGGCAGCACTTGCGCAGTGCCGGTCCTGCATCCCTATAGCTGCATGTATATATATATATATTGGGGGGCGCCCCCGAGCACTAACAGTTAAATAAAGCCATTTATACATAATACCTCAGCAAAAAGGACCACCAGCAAGCCCAAATTGGTTTTGGGTAAGCACGCCCCACCAATTTTAGGTTGCGTGTTTGTTTCGTCTATATGATGATGATGCAGTGCAGTGGAGAGCAGAGTGGTGTCTTTTCATGCCCAGCCGCAAATACGGTTCTGCCCCTACTGGTTTCTAGTGCTGCGCTTTTGGGGTTGTCACTGGACTGTAGGTGCATTCGGATTTAGGGGCCCGTCGCATGCAAGTTGCCAACGCTAACACCAAGTTCTGACATCTTGATCTGACAGATTGCGAAATCCAAAGCAGGCAGGAAGTGGCGCAGTCAGCGCGGAGCTGGCCGCTTCGCCCAGAGCCAGAACACGTCTTTTCGCTTCTTCCGTTTGTGGGCCTGGTGGAGGAGCCCAAGGTCCTGAAAGACAGATTTGTGCTTCCCCAACACCGGAGCAACGACAGCCACTACCACGTTTGTCCTTGCAACCTAGACAGCTGTCTGCAGGCCATGCTGCCCCATCCCGGCCCGGCCAGGCCAGCTGGTCCCTGGCCCAGCTGGCGCCGGCACCGAGCTGGCGGAGCTGCGCTGACTTCAGCCGGCTCCCACAATTCCCCCCCCAGGGACCCCGCTACTACTTTTCATCACGGAAAAACCACAAGCGGGAGCACAAAAAAAAGCACCGCGAAACCCACAAGAAAAAGCACACAAATGAGCACAATTGGGAGCACAAAAAACAGCACCCCAAAACCCCAATTACCCCTTGCCAGGACCCCGCTACTACTTTTCATCACGGGAAACCACAAGCGGGAGCACAAAAAAAGGCACCGCGGAACCCACAAGAAAAAGCACAAAGGACCACCGCAAAACCCAAATTGGAGCACAAAAAAAGCACCGCAAAACTTGGCCGGCGGGCCGGCTTTTGAAAATTACTTTCCCTTCAGACTGCGAAATTCAAATTGTTTGCCCCTGCCCCCCGGGGACACGTTAAGAATTAAAAAAGCGTGCGTTAGCGCTCCCCAAAACATTCTTGGAACGAAAAAAGGAAGGAAGAAAGCACAGACAGAAGGTTGGTGGGAAGGGGAGACGGGAGAGGAGGAAGGGAGGGGTTGCTGTGGGCTGGAGGTCTGTGCGAAAGATTCCTGAAGCAGGCAGGGCTGGGAGGTTTGGGTGAGGGCCGCAGGTAGGGCTGGGTGGGTGAGGGCAGCTTGGTGTTGAGAGCGGAGGCTGAAAGAGAAGGCTGGGTGAATGGGAACTGGCTTACGCTGGGGGGAGGTTGGAGGTTGATTGGGAGGGGGTGTTGTGGGAAGCAGCAGCGTGATCAAGCCAAACAGAAAGGAAGGATAGAAAGGAACTGTTGTAACAGCTACGCTGAGCCGTCGTGTTGTGTATGCCTATTTAACGTTCCCATTGCATCTGGGCAAATAAGTCATAGTCCAAATACTCTTTGAATCACTTTACTTCAAGGTCCCCGGAGCCATCCCCTAAGATGCAGAAGGAGTAATTTAGGTTTCAGACCTGCACGGGTACCTAATTTTTGAAAAAAAGCAAAGTTGCTTGTTTTTTGTGGTGTTTTTTTGCGCCCCTATTTGTGCTCACTGTTAGTGGTCCGGGGCCACCCCCAATATATATATATATATATACATGTACATATATATATATATATATATTTACTGTGTATATATATATATAGTTGGGCGCGGCTATGACTACTGGAACAGCTCACTCAACCGCGCAAACCAATAAGGCTTATTGAAGCGCGCAAACCAATAAGGCTTATTGAAGTGCACAAACCAATAAGGCTTATTGAAACAAATCAATAATCATTGCGCTTCGGAAATCCAACATTTTTCCCCAACAGCTGAAGCTTTGGGGTCTCAGCCCAGATAGGCTCCGGGGTGGTTCGGGGCGACCCTGAGCTAAGGTTCCCACCAGGGCAGGGTTCCACCACACCATCTGCGAGGTTTGCAGCAGGGTTCCACCAAGGGCTGCGGGGTGGTCTGGGTTGGTTTGCACGAGGGTTCCACCAGGGTTCAGGCTGCGGGGTGGTCCGGGTGGTTTGAGGTAAGTTTCCACCACCAGGTTTCCACCAAAGTTCCACCAGCCCATCGTGCTCCGGACGAGGGTTCCACCAGGGTTCCACCAATTTCTTCGAGGGCTGCGGGGTGGTCCGGGGCTGGTTTGAGGAAGGTTCCATGAGGGTTCCACTAGAATTCCACCAGGTTTTGCAAGGTAAGGTTCCATGAAGGTTCCAGCACAGTTCTAGCAGGGTTCCACGAGGTTCTGCGAGGGCTGTGGGCGTTGAGGTTTCACAGGGTTCCACAAAGCTCTGGTTTGCCCTGGAGGGAAGCAGTGTGTCGCGCGCCCGTCGTCTGAAAAGCCATCGGATCAAGATCGCTTTGCTCATGGGCGGAACACTAAGCAAAACCGAAACCAATGGTTTTTAGCACACTTTCACTATTTTGTGACTCGCTCACTTGCTCAGGCAAATGTTGGCTTTGTGGCAAATCAGATCACGTCGCTGCGGGACTCACGGTGCAGCAGCGTAAATGCTTGGCATTGCTGCTTGGTGGGCTTTGAGGCTGCGGCTATGAGGTCACAAGGCTTCCACCAGGTTCTGCAAAACGCTATGGGGCAGCCCTGAGGAAAGGTTCCAACAAAGTTTCACGCTGAGCTCCACGAAACGGGTTCACCGGGCCTAGGTCGGGGCCCGATTGCACTGTCGGGGCCCGATTGCACCGTTTGGGCCCGATTGGGCCATCGCGTCGGGCCCCGTCAACTGTACCAAGCTGGTTTTGCTATAGATACAGTTGCAATCCGCATGCTAAGGAAAACCGGCGTTGAGCTATAATATGAGTGGCTGGGGTTGCAGCACAGGACGATCGGGCCCCGATTGCACCGTCGGGCCCCGATCGGGCCCCGATTGCACCGTCGGGCCCCGATCGGGCCCCGATTGCACCGTCAGGCCCCGATCGGGCCCCTATTGCGCCACCAGGCCCCAATCGGGCCCCGATTGCGCCGTCGGGCCCCGATCAGGGCGAGATTGCGCTGTCACTTGTAGCTTTGCTTTAGAAAGTTACAAGCCGGCATCCTCAGAAACACCGGCGGTAAGGATGGTCCCGGGGCGTTCCGCGAGGATTCTGGGAGGGTGTGGTGCTGTTGGGGATATCGGAGCTTATTCAATAAAAATGCTGTTACAATAATGACATCAAAAATCAATAAAAATTATTGAATCTTTTCAATAAGGCGGAGTCTGGGTAGTGCACACATGCCAACTTTAGCTCTTCGACAAAACATGGAACATGTTTCCACTTGTTTGTGCGAAAGTCTTTAGCGTGGGGCGTCCCCCGAGGACTGAGCGGCTCATTTCATCGGATCAGTCAGTCAGGCGGTGTATAAGCAAGGAACTTTTCTGAGGGCTTCGGTGATTCTTCTGACATTCCAGTGGGAATTGCCAAACTAAAGTCTACGTAACTCAGCTTCTGCACACATAAATGGAGGGAATCCCTCATTTATTTTTCTTTTGGTATGCGTGTCTGTGTGTGTATGTGTGTTTTGGCAAATGTTGTCCCGGCTAGCTTCTTGCTGTGACAACCAAAGCTTGAGAATGTTTACAGATGGAACGATCTTGCCTTGGATTAGCGTGTTGCACACACCTAGTGCGTTGGCAACAATTTGAATTGGACCCTCCTTAGCCCCCAACTGCCCGGGGCATCGCGTGGCAGGGCGTCCACCAGCGGGGGCGTTGCCATGCCCACCTTCACACTCTTGGCGCGGACCTCAGACATGCGAATCAAACAAACGGACTGCAACTTGTCAAGGCCTTGAGCGCCATGGCATAGCAACTTCACAAATTAAAACCATGTCAATTGATGTTTTTCAACCTCAAGGCATCCCAACGAGGCTTGTTATTCGACAGGTTAAGTCCAAACGCGCCGAGATTCACAGATGCCACTTTGTGTCGGCCACAGCCGGACAAACTTCTCCGGTCTTTCCATGGAGTTGAGAAAAGACTGCCCAGCTGTCTGGAGTACATGGGTAACAGCCAATGTTCAGCTTGTTGCCAATCAAGAGGAGAGGCGGTGAGGCATGTGCACTTATTGGTGGCAATTCAGAGAGAGAGGGGAGGTATATATATATATAGATATGTAGATAGCCCCCATGGACCCTGGTTTGGTGAGCTTGAACAGTGTTTTTTTTCCCAGTGTTTTGTGCCTTTGTTTGCCTTGTTGATTTGGTGGCACAATGGGGGGGGGTTACCATATGTGGAGATATGCATGTGTGCATACATATGTAATGCAAGCAGAGATGGCAACAGCTGCCATTTGACAGAGTCTGCATCCATCTCAGAGTATTGGGACAACCCTGCATGTTTGTTTTATTCTTGTACATTCGGGATTCAATATTCAAGATTTCAAGAATCTGCATTTTGGGAGTCTTGAATCTTGAATCCCCTTTTTTCAACAATCCCGGATTGTCGCAGTACCCTTGGTGTTCAATACGTACTTCTGCAACCAAGTATGCGCCCATCTGCAGTCATATGCATTTCTCCAAGCTACCGCAATTTCTGGATTCAAAGTGGGAGGACTAAATGCTCGGAACAGATTCCAATCTTGAATATTCAATCCAGTGGCCAATTGCTCTAGAGGTTTTAGAACAACTTGAATGTTTTGTTGTGGCTGGCGCAACTTGAATGTTGTTAGGGCTTGGCCAGGATTGACGATTCTCGGGAAAGACTTCTGTGGAATCTTCAATTATGTTCAAGTGCTTTTAGTAAGCGTCTTGCTTCATGCTCACATTGACCCTTTTCCAAGAGGTAAAGGTAGGTGTAATGCTGAAAACACTGCATTTTACAGCATTGTATGAAGAGGATCATGAGGGGTTCTATATGTTTGTATGTACATAACATATGTTCACACGCCGGAACCCCCCCCCCCGGGGAATTACCTGCCCACCTCTGCTCATGTACGCCTTGTGAAATAGAATGAATTAGGTTTCCTGCCCAAATAAGACTATAAATGCCATTGGTGTAGCTAGAATCCCTGTTTCGAGGTAGTTTAAGAATTTGAACTTCTCTTTTCCCCTGAAATGTTTTGAAACACCGTCTAACAAGTTCGATTTTGGACCTTTCTTATGCTACAAAAGGGACACAATGCAAATAACACAAAGCGTATTGCGGATATCCTTTTAGAAGTCCCCCAAGTGTTTAGCCATATTCATGATTAGTTGTATTTGAGAACTAGTTTTTGTTTAATTGTTATTATCAGATGCTAGTTGGATTGTGTTCGTATTAGATGATATTTAACACTTACAGTCTATTTGGGAGTAAACGTTTTTTTGGAGTTTACCCGAAAATATATTTACATTTTCATGTAACTCCTATTTGGAAAGGATTTGTTTAATGAAGTTAAATTTGAACATAAACCACATGTTGGAAAACAAAAAACACTATATCCTTACTAAACTATATTCAAAATTCCAATTCTAGTTGAAGTAAAATCCTACTTGGAAAGGGTATCATATTGGGACATTTTGGAGGACTCCGGGCTCCAAAATATCAGGCTGTGCAGCTGGAACTTGTACCTGCCGTGTAGTCTTACTCAAGTGTGATCTGAGTGGCTGGTGCTTCCTGCTGAAAAAGTTTGACTTTTGGGGTCTGGGGGAAGCTACGGAAAGTACACGTCTCAAACGAAAGTAAAAGGTAACAATTCCAACCAAGCAGCACCCAAGTGATTGTGATCTGTGGACTTGCCATGATTTACCGTGCCTACCTGTGATCTCCTACTGTCATCCTTTGCGCCTTGTGTCCGGCACCCTGGTTCTTCCAGGGAAGCACTTTTTCAGACTATGTCGACTGCTGTGTTCCCACAGGTGCCTTTTGGCTTTTGGCAGTTGCAGGTCAAGTGGTCAAATCTTACGGCGTTAAATGTGGATGCATGACTAGTTGGGATATGCGAAGATTCCCTGCTCCCCGGGCTTGGTGTGCTTTCGTCCCATGAGTGATCCTCCTTAGCCGGTTGGATTCAACAAACAAGCTGTCTACTCGAATACGTTGTTTCTTGCCTTGTGCAGCCCACTTTTTCGCCGACGTTGAAATTGTGTCAGATCCTGGCAAGCTTCGCCTTCCTCACCTCCTGCTATGCAGTCTTCAGAGCAGCCCAATGGCCTGGCAGCCCAGCGCAAGAGAGCGAAGCCTCGTGTGACGTCTCGTGGTTTTGGCCCAATCAGCGAGCCTTGAGTGTGGTTTTGCCGCGTTTTGCAAGAAACACGGGCTTAGAAGGATGCACACTTTGGAAGCGCAACTGCGAACCTTGGGCCGCGTTCGAGGTTCATTCAAGGCTTGGGTCTTGATGTCAAAGACCTCTTTGATGCTGTATGTTCTTCCAATTGCAGTCTCTAACACGCATGATCCTTAAACTGAAGGGCATTGCTGCAAATCGGGAGATGCTTCAGCACTATGCCACCCACTGTTTGAAGGGACACATGTCCATCCTTGCACGGAGATCCTTGGACTATGGAGCATATTGCCCCTGTTGGTCAGACTTGTAAAGGCAATGTCGGAAGACGACCCAGACGGGCCATGGACACTTGCATACACAGTTGCTTCAAGGATGCCTTGTGACCAGGCGTTGTACACACTCCGACACGCCTGGCACACTTTGCTCCAGGCATGCGGCATGGCTGTGGCAAACGGACAACGCGTGATATCTGCAGAGGGGCCTTGAGAAACCACCCAACAAAGACTGGCACCTTCCAAACTCACACACGCACACACATGCCCACACACCCACACCCCCCCCCCTCCCACACACACAGAGAGACACACACACACACATACACACACACACAGACACACACACAGACACACACACACAGACACACACAGACACACACACACAGACAAGACACACACAGACACACACACACAGACACACACACACACAGACACAGACACACACACACACACAGACACACACACACACAGACACACACACAACACACACACACAGACACACAGACACACACAGACACACACACAAAGACACACACACAGACACACACACACACACACAGACACACACAGACACACACACACAGACACTCACAGACACACACAGACACACACAGACAGACACAGACGCGCACAGACACACACACACACAGACGCACACAGACGCGCACAGACACACACACACAGACACACACACAAAGAGACACACAGGCAACACAGACACACAGACACACACACACACACACAGACACACACACAGACACACACAGACGCACACAGACACACAGACACACAGACACACAGACACACACACACACACACACACACACACACACACCCAACCACCCACCCACCCACCCACCCACGCACCCACGCACGCACGCACGCACGCACGCACGCACGCATACGCACGTACGCACGTACGCACGTACGCACGTACGCACGTACGCGCACGCGCACGCGCATGCGCACTCGCACGCGCACGCGCACACACACGCGCACGCGCACACACGCGCCGCGCAGACGCACACACACACACCCACACACCCACACACCCACACACCCACACACCCACACACCCACACACCCACACACCCACACACCCACACACCCACACACCCACACACCCACACCCCCACACCCCCACACCCCCACACACCCACACACCCACACACCCACACACCCACACACCCACACACCCCCACACATGCCCACACATGCCCACACATGCCCACACATGCCCACACATGCCCACACATGCCCACACACGCCCACACACGCCCACACACGCCCACACACGCCCACACACGCCCACACACGCCCACGCACGCCCACACACGCCCGCACACGCCCACACACGCCCCCACACACGCCCCCACACACGCCCCCACACACGCCCACACACACGCCCACACACACGCCCACACACACGCCCACACACACGCCCACACACACGCCCACACACACGCCCACACACACGCCCACACACACGCACACACGCACACACGCACACACGCACACACGCACACACGCACACACGCACACACGCACACACGCACGCACGCACACCCACACCCACACCCACACGCACACGCACACGCACACGCACACGCACACGCACACGCAGCACACCGCACACGCACACGAACACGAACACGCACACGCCACCCACCACCCACCACCCACCACCCACCACCCAACCACCCACCACACACCCCACACCGCACGCCGCACACCGCACACCCCACACAACACACCACACACACACACATCACCCCGAACACGCGCACACACACACACACTTACACTTACACTTGCACTTACACTGACACTTACACTTACACTTACACTTAGACTTAGACTTAGACTTACACTTACACTTACACTTACACACACACACCCACACCCACACCCACCCACACCCACACTCACACCCACACCCACACCCACACGCACACGCACACGCACACGCGCACGCGCACGCGCACGCGCGCGCGCACACGCACACGCACACGCACACGCACACACACACACACACCCACACACACCCACACACAAATTCCCACACCCCCACACCCCGACACCCTTACACCCCCACACACCCACACACCCACACACACACACCCACACACACACACACACACACCCACGCCCACACACACACACACACACCCACGCCCACACCCACACACACACACACACACACACGTATACCTAACCCGGATATTCCTCGCATTGCTGAGGGTGATGGACGAATACTTGGGCACCCGCGAGTTCGATCCCTTCCTGGCCGGGCGAGAGAAGTCTCATGGGGGAGGGGGGGGAAGATTGCATCCATGCTCCCCTTTTGAGGATTTGTGCTTCAGTCGTTTTTAGGGCTTAGTGCTAGTTTCCATAAAAATCCCGCTTAAAGTTAGTCACCTTGAGCAGGGGATCCGAGGGCCCAGTTCAGATGATTTCGTTGCCCAAAGGCGGACCTGCAGAATGGTTTAGCACAGCTTCCTCCAGATGCCAGTCTGCAGCAACAAAGACATAGGCCACGTGCGTTTGGATTAGCACAGATTCGCCGGCTGGCGCCCGACTCGCAGTTTTATTAAAAGGACCTACAAAGTCAGAGTAGGCGCCTCTCTTTCTCACTTGACCAATTCATTTGTATCTCTCTGCCTGAAGTGACCTAAGCTAATTTCTAGCTTGGTGAGGTTGTCAGGAGTGGGTTTTCCCTGGCAGGACAAGCATGGCCGTCAGAGAATGGAGGGGGGGGGTTCCACATTCCCTGTGAGAGAGCCGAGCACGAAGCCTCAAACCCTAAGAAGCCATGGTAAGAAGCTGTAAGTCATTCCAACTCACGGTATGCAATTCGTCGCAATGTCCACAAAGCCGAGCCACCTGAGGCTTTCTGTGTTGCGTTGCCAGTGTTTCGGCGGCAGGGAATTACTTCACGAGGCTCGTGTTTGGGCATCTTTCAGGCTTTTTGGGCACCAGCTCGCCAGTCGCCAAGGCATGTCTGGAAGACGAATGCTTGTCATATTGACTGGTCGTTTGCACCTACGTGCATTTGGGTTCAGCAGAAAGTGGCCCAAAGACGGGGCGGATGTTGACCCAGGATCAATTGGTCTCATTCGAGAAAACTTCCTTCACTTTGGTGCGGGTTTTTACATCCTTCGAGGCCGAGTTGCTCATTCCTACTTGCTAGCTTGTTCCCACGCATCACGTCAAACCCAGGGCAATGGGGCTGGACCTGCAAACATGAATGTAGGAAGTGTGCCAATGAAACCAGCAGCTTGGGCTATCAGGCACCTTATAGTCCTTGTGCTTGTGACTCTTAGCTGCGTTCTCAAGTCACCTCTAAAAGCCCCGGAGCCTGGTCCAAGCAGCGCTCCTCAACCCTGGGAAGCTTGCCCCCCACCCCCGTTTCGGAGGGCAGCCCAAGTGCCTGAGGCCCAGTCTTTGGAGCACTTCCCGCTCTTCATGCTCTTGGCCTTGTTCTTCGTGTTGGGCAACCCAAGTCACACGGACGACTAGAAGCACTTGGAAAGAAAGAACAACGCAGGGCTAACCGAGTTCCTGATGGTCAAAAAGCTATTGGCTGTTGGGGACTCATGAGGAAGGCCGCCCTTGTGGCTGGTTTTTGACGATGCGACCTCCAATCTTTTGAGCCTGGCCCCAACCAGAAATGCCGCTGCATGTGTTGTTTGAATGACTTTTGACCAGGGTCAGAAGGGATTCAGGATTCAACTGTTGGACACTGAGGCGTTTCTGTTTACCCACAGGCATGAAAGGTATTCGATCGCAAACTGCAGGCAGCTCCGAACCTTCCCACTCGATCTGTTTGCCCCAGGCCCCTTGTCGTCTCCTTTGGTGCGGCTATGTGGACGCCAGTCTTCTACCATCGAGCCTGAAGCTGAGTCCATTCGGGTCAGTTCAGGGGTTCCGGGGTTCCTATGGGTCGGGAGTCATGACCTTTCACAGGATTCAAACCTGTGGAGCTTGCTCTTTAGTGGTTCTATCCTGCTCCATCTCGCGGGGCCTTTTTGCCGGCTTTGAAACACATGGGCTGCGCCCAGTAAACCAAGCCAGCGAGAAATGGATGTTACATGTAAAGCAACTTATACTTGTATGTGTTGGTTGTCGAGCCAAGTTTGGAGTGTTTGGTTTAGAATTGTTTGATGGATATTGGCTGTTTAGGTCCCAATTCTTCAGGTAACGTGTAAGGGGAACACAATCAACGTAGGGGGCCAGGATCCTTGCAAATCCAGGCTTTTTACACTGGGAAGGATGGACAAACTAGTTTCAGCGTAATGTGTTTTGTTGAACCGCAATTCTTCAACGCCAGGCCAGCAAGTGCAACTTGGACTCCCATCCATTTCAGCAACCCATCCCTGCAGCTCGTTTGTGTCAAGGCATGCTTGCCGTTCATGGTTGGTTTAGATGGTTTAGATGAACCATAGCCGCTTGAGCAGTCTAACTTCAACCCAAGGAATATTCGCTTTGGGCGGGGGACGACCGCTTTCGTAAATGCGGTTGTTTACGGATTTAGGTTTGCCTTGCAAATCAAGGGTAGCGTGCGGCGTACTTCTCCTTTTGGTTTGGACCGAGCCACTCGACCTGTTGCTCCGAAGCTTTTTGCACTGTTTGCATTGCCATTTCGTTGCTTAGGTAGGCCGTCATGGGATTCATCCATTCAGTTTGAGCTATGTCAGCATTTGGAGCATTACGCAATGCTGTGAAGAACGCTGTTGAGCGAACATTGCTCAGCATGTATTGCCGGCACTGTTTGCTGGACTTGATTTAAATATAGCTATATTAGTATAGCTAAATTCTTTTTCTAACTAGTTGGCCTCCTTCCCTCCATCCCTCAATTTATCCACCCATCCGCCCACCCACCCACCCACCCACCCGCCCCTTCATCCGATATGTCTATCCATATGTCTTCCGTATCTCGTGCTGTCTGATTTGCCTTGAGAGTCGTCCGAAAGGTCCTTGTATTGAGCTATGAAGGGGAAGACCTTTTGGTCTTAGCGTTGACCTCGTCCAAAGTTCCGCGAAGGGGGTCGCGAAAGTTAATTTGTTGCTCGCGAAAGTTTTGTGTAATAACAGGAAGCTGGAGTGTGTTCTGAACATGTGTATTTGCCGGCACTGCGTGCAGAATGCCGGCAGACTACAGTTGGTCGGGGAATGCGCAGCTTGGGGGTCGCCGCAAGAAGACGCCGCTGCAAAACCAACCCCCAGCCAAGAGAAACCACCTCGTGGGAGTTTTGGAGCTTTTGGGTCAAGTTGAGTGCAACTTTCAAGCCGGATTTTCGCGAATGTTTGGCGAAGCTCCGCGAAAGTTTCGCGAAAGTCGACGGACTGCCCCGCCAGTTTTCGGACATGAGGCCAACGTGTCCTCTCGTGCCGTGTGCTGCTGCACGGCTTGTGAGCTGGAGCTGCGGAAGCGCGCTTCGCGTGCTACTTTGGAACTGAAAGGTTGCGATTTTGGAGCTGGGGCTGCGGAAGTTTACTTTGTGTACTACTTTGGTATTGAAAAGCTGCGACTTTCGAGCTGGAGCTTCGAAAGGCTACTTCGTGTACTATGTGTGATGTTCCGAAAACAGCCCTGCCAAAGTTCCGCGAAATATGTTTTTCCCGCGAAGATTTTCAATCAACCGCCACGCATACATTATATATATATATATATATATATATCGATATATCTATTTGTTTGGTTTGGCCTATCTGACCTAACGTGATCTAACGTAGAATAGTATAATATAGTCCGTCTATCTAAGAGTTGCTTGTCTGTATTGTCTTAACTTATGTTGCCATACATTATACATCATTGTCACGGAATATGTTTTCTACCCACTTACCTACCTATCTACCTGCCTGAGTGATCCATCTATCTATCCATCGAGGCATCTATCTGTCTATCTACCCATCGAACTAATCTAACCTAAGCCAGTCTAGCTATATATCTATATTTCTATCTATCTACCTTTCTCGGACCTAAACAAAAAGGCACGCTGGGTGCTTCAGGATGTCTTGTATGACATGAGTGTGTCTTATCTTGTGCTATCATCATTTCTATCGGTTCGGTTTGTCTATGTATCGGCCGATCTTTATCTATCTGTCTATCCATCTACCTATCTATTTGTCTACCTACCTACACACGTGATACGACTGTGCACTTGCTGAGGTCCAAGTTGAACGCCGCAACATTGATTAGTACCGCTTTGTTTGGCTGAGCATCTCTGCAGCTACCGCCATGGTTGTTGATGCATGAATGGGCTAACTGAGGTTTGGAGGATGACCCGTCCATCAACTGAAGTGTGTCATTTTGCTGAAGTATGACCCATCCATAAATTAACACTTGAAGCAGAATTACTTTGTTCAGGATGGGTGGGTTCGCCAATAAACAACTGAAAGAAGCGCAGGTTGTGTGCTGGACAACCTGTGTAAGTGTGCAAGGGGGACCTGATGGTTGGGGAACTCTGGCCTCGTGCCTAAAGCGTTTTTTCTCATGCTCAAATGTAACAAGCAGTTTCACACTTCCATATGCTTCAGACAGCCCAGTTCCACGGAGAAATCCAAGTTACCAGCGTGTCCAACTCTCCATTTGTGATCTGACCACGAGGCCTTGCTGCTCTACGGCACGGTTCCCGGACTTTTTTTGAGCTCGAGAGAGATGCCGGCATGACATTAGACATGGGTGTGGTTTTTTGTCGAGGCCAACTTTTTTGGGTGTTCACAAGGGAAGCCAAAGAGAGACCACTCTTGTGTGCGTTTCAAAGGAGAGTTGTAGCAATGCAAAATGCCCAATCCCTTGACCCGAAGTGAGGACCCACGGATTTCAGGATGTGACGACCCGTTAGGTATGGTGCAGTTTAACGCACAGCCAGATACCCTGGCTTTATGATATGCATGTCCCCTCTTCCTTGTTGTGCCATTGCTGTACAGGTCAACAAGCAACAAAGAACATCGCACACCGCACCGCACCTGCAATTCTTCGCGGTGCTCGCAGCTGATTGCAGTGTATAGCCTTTTGCCCCTGATCCAGAGGCCCGCCGCGACCATGGCTTGCAGCAAGACGTGCCAGAAGGTGTCCCTGTGCATCGGCATCCTTTTGGCCATTGCGGGTCTTGCCCTCACGCTGGTTGGAATGTTTGACCTTTCCTCGATGTCGCTGAGCCTGTCCACGGAGATGGACGGAACTCTCACTGGCTCCTTGCCTGTGCTGGCTGGCTCCTGCCAGTACGTGATGCTGGTGGCCAAGACTGCTGACTGCGGCCTCATCGTGTCTACAGCCTCCGTGGGCACGCTGGACACCTCCCTGTGTGGCCAGGAGGAGATTCCCGAGGAGGGGGCGGAGCGGGCGCCAGGCAATCGCAACCTGGAGAATCTTGATTGGACCATCGGCTCCGAGAAGGTGACTGATCTGAAGCTCGCAGCCACGCTGAGTTTCAGTTCCACGGACAGCGGCGACTCAACATTCACGAGCAACGAGGCTACGTGGGCCATGGATCCTTGTGCGGTCTTTGAGGAGGTTTTCAGCGTTGCCGCCCGTGCCCTGATCATGATCGTCGCCGGTGTCCTCATCCTGCTGGCTGGCCTTATCACCTTCTTCATCGGATGCTGCTGCTGCCTGTGCTGCGGGGCGAAGGAGTGAGCCGTCGGAACCCACGACGCAAGCTGCCTGCAAGACGGTGCACGGTAAGTGCTTCGGGCCCCAATGTGGGCATTCCAGCATTCCTGGCATTTGATTGCACCAACGCTTCAGGGAGAGTTGAAAGACACCATTTTGGGCTGAACCTTGGCACAACCATGTACGAGGCTTACCTCACTGACGCGTGAAGTTGTGCTCAATATTGGCTTGGTCCTTCACGCACTGGCACAGACTGGGATTTTGAAGTTCTTGGGGAGCCACGCTGTACCACGATCCGAATTCAGCTTTTGAAATGTGCATGCAGTGCCAGATGGCGCGCTGACTGTGAAGAGCAAAGGGGGTCGGCAAGAGTTTATCAGCTTTGGGCTTGGAAGGGACGGTTTCTCTATGTGGGCCATGCCTGAGATTGGTCGGTTTGCGGCGGTCAACTGAGCCACCATCAGGCCTTGGCCGGCACACTTGCATACATGGAAATGGTTCGTTGTCCGGGAAGTTCTTGATGATTTTTTGATACGTTGCTCGCAGCTGCTCGAACTTCTGTATAGTGTCTTGATCGCGATTGCCCGTGCCCAGGCCCCGCCAAGACCATGGCTTGCAGCAAGACGTGCCAGAAGGTGTCCCTGTGCATCGGCATCCTTTTGGCCATTGCGGGTCTTGCCCTCACGCTGGTTGGAATGTTTGACCTTTCCTCGATGTCGCTGAGCCTGTCCACGGAGATGGACGGAACTCTCACTGGCTCCTTGCCTGTGCTGGCTGGCTCCTGCCAGTACGTGATGCTGGTGGCCAAGACTGCTGACTGCGGCCTCATCGTGTCTACAGCCTCCGTGGGCACGCTGGACACCTCCCTGTGTGGCCAGGAGGAGATTCCCGAGGAGGGGGCGGAGCGGGCGCCAGGCAATCGCAACCTGGAGAATCTTGATTGGACCATCGGCTCCGAGAAGGTGACTGATCTGAAGCTCGCAGCCACGCTGAGTTTCAGTTCCACGGACAGCGGCGACTCAACATTCACGAGCAACGAGGCTACGTGGGCCATGGATCCTTGTGCGGTCTTTGAGGAGGTGTTCAGCGTTGCCGCCCGTGCCCTGATCATGATCGTCGCCGGTGTCCTCATCCTGCTGGCTGGCCTTATCACCTTCTTCATCGGATGCTGCTGCTGCCTGTGCTGCGGGGCCAAGGAGTGAGCCGTCGGAACCCACGACGCAAGCTGCCTGCAAGACGGTGCACGGTAAGTGCTTCGGGCCCCAATGTGGGCATTCCAGCATTCCTGGCATTTGATTGCGCCAAGGCTTCAGGGAGAGTTGAAAGACACCGTTTTGGGTGCCAGCCATGAGTGCAACAACTCTCTTGGACAAATCTTGGTCCAACCATGTACGGGGCACCCCACTGACACGTCTGTCCCAGGGAAACATCGGTTGTACGAGTACTTAAATGTTGTGCTGCATATTGTGGTCTGGCCCTTCCAGCAGCACTAGCACAGACTGGGAGTTGGAAGTCATTGGGGAGCCACGCTGTACCACGATCCGAATTCAGCCTGGCATAGCCTGGCAATGTGCTTGCACTGCGAGATATGTGCGTAGACTGTAAAGAGCAAAGGGGGGCCGGAAAGGGTTCATCAGCTTTGGGCGGGGGTGGACAGTTTCTCTATGTAAGTCATGCATGGGATTGTTTGTTTTTGCCGGCATTGCGTCAGCACATACTGGCCACCAACTCAGCCACAATTTGCCTTGTCTGGCAGGCTTGATAACTTGATAACGCTTCTTGGAACACTGCTCGCAGCCGCTCGAAGCTTTGAATCGCATTTTGCCTGTGCCCAGGCCCCGCCGAGACCATGGCTTGCAGCAAGACGTGCCAGAAGGTGTCCCTGTGCATCGGCATCCTTTTGGCCATTGCGGGTCTTGCCCTCACGCTGGTTGGAATGTTTGACCTTTCCTCGATGTCGCTGAGCCTGTCCACGGAGATGGACGGAACTCTCACTGGCTCCTTGCCTGTGTTGGCTGGCTCCTGCCAGTACGTGATGCTGGTGGCCAAGACTGCTGACTGCGGCCTCATCGTGTCTACAGCCTCCGTGGGCACGCTGGACACCTCCCTGTGTGGCCAGGAGGAGATTCCCGAGGAGGGGGCGGAGCGGGCGCCAGGCAATCGCAACCTGGAGAATCTTGATTGGACCATCGGCTCCGAGAAGGTGACTGATCTGAAGCTCGCAGCCACGCTGAGTTTCAGTTCCACGGACAGCGGCGACTCAACATTCACGAGCAACGAGGCTACGTGGGCCATGGATCCTTGTGCGGTCTTTGAGGAGGTGTTCAGCGTTGCCGCCCGTGCCCTGATCATGATCGTCGCCGGTGTCCTCATCCTGCTGGCTGGCCTTATCACCTTCTTCATCGGATGCTGCTGTTGCCTGTGCTGCGGGGCCAAGGAGTGAGCCGTCGGATTCCACGACGCAAGCTGCCTGCAAGACGGTGCACGGTAAAGTGCTTCGGGCCCCAATGTGGGCATTCCAGCATTCCTGGCATTTGATTGCGCCAAGGCTTCAGGGAGAGTTGAAAGACACCGTTTTGGGTGCCAGCCATGAGTGCAACAACTCTCTTGGACAAATCTTGGTCCAACCATGTACGGGGCACCCCACTGACACGTCTGTCCCAGGGAATCATCGGTTGTACGCGTACTTAAATGTTGTGCTGCATATTGTGGTCTGGCCCTTCCAGCAGCACTAGCACAGACTGGGAGTTGGAAGTCATTGGGGAGCCACGCTGTACCACGATCCGAATTCAGCCTGGCATAGCCTGGCAATGTGCTTGCACTGCGAGATATGTGCGTAGACTGTAAAGAGCAAAGGGGGGCCGGAAAGGGTTCATCAGCTTTGGGCGGGGGTGGACAGTTTCTCCATGTAAGTCATGCATGGGATTGTTTGTTTTTGCCGGCATTGCGTCAGCACGTACTGGCCACCAACTCAGCCACAATTTGCCTTGTCTGGCAGGCTTGATAACTTGATAACGCTTCTTGAAACACTGCTCGCAGCCGCTCGAAGCTTTGAATCGCATTTTGCCTGTGCCCAGGCCCCGCCGAGACCATGGCTTGCAGCAAGACGTGCCAGAAGGTGTCCCTTTGCATCGGCATCCTTTTGGCCATTGCGGGTCTTGCCCTCACGCTGGTTGGAATGTTTGACCTTTCCTCGATGTCGCTGAGCCTGTCCACGGAGATGGACGGAACTCTCACTGGCTCCTTGCCTGTGCTGGCTGGCTCCTGCCAGTACGTGATGCTGGTGGCCAAGACTGCTGACTGCGGCCTCATCGTGTCTACAGCCTCCGTGGGCACGCTGGACACCTCCCTGTGTGGCCAGGAGGAGATTCCCGAGGAGGGGGCGGAGCGGGCGCCAGGCAATCGCAACCTGGAGAATCTTGATTGGACCATCGGCTCCGAGAAGGTGACTGATCTGAAGCTCGCAGCCACGCTGAGTTTCAGTTCCACGGACAGCGGCGACTCAACATTCACGAGCAACGAGGCTACGTGGGCCATGGATCCTTGTGCGGTCTTTGAGGAGGTTTTCAGCGTTGCCGCCCGTGCCCTGATCATGATCGTCGCCGGTGTCCTCATCCTGCTGGCTGGCCTTATCACCTTCTTCATCGGATGCTGCTGCTGCCTGTGCTGCGGGGCGAAGGAGTGAGCCGTCGGATCCCACGACGCAAGCTGCCTGCAAGGCGGCGCGCGGCAATTGCTTCGGGCCCCAATGTGGGCATTCCAGCATTCCTGGCATTTGATTGCGCCAAGGCTTCAGGGAGAGTTGAATCTTGGCCCAACCATGCACGAGGCTTACCTCGCTGACGCATGAAGTTGTGTTCAATATTGGCGTGGCCCTTCTCACTGGCACAGACTGGGATTTTGAAGTCATTTGGGAGCCACGCTGCACCACGATCCGAATTCAGCTTTTGAAATTTGCATGCAGTGCCAAATGGCGAGCTGACTGTGAAGAGCAAAGGGGGCCGGCAA